AGGAGTGCTGATCTGCAACACAGGGCTGCCGGCAGGTGGGCGGAATGAGACCCCCAGACAGCCCCAGGGCAGGCCTGCAGCTCCTACCATCCTTATTCCAGCTCCATCCTTCCTTTTGGATTCAATTCAAAAATCAACTACTAAGTTTTTCCTGGTCTCCAAAGACTAAACTTATTTTCCTCTAAAACAATATCCAAGCTGATTCCCCTCTGGCTTTTCTCAGTAGATACAATGTTGCTGTTGTTGCCAAGTGAACCCGCCCCCTACTTGCTGTCTGCAGAATGGTGGCTGAAGCTCTTTAGAAAAGAACACTTAAGACAGATCCACATTCATACCCAACACTCAGTTTCCCCATACCTGCATTTCAAGACAAGTTTTCTCATGGACTACAACACTTATCGCAGAAGGAATGTAACCCTTTATCACCCACCACTAAGTCCTACCTCTGCCTAACACTGCTATCAACACTGAGATGGGAAGCCTACCCGAGAGCTCTGAAAGAACATAATGACATTAAAACAAGGCTTTATGCACAAAATGTTCAATTTGAACTTGCATGTTCTTTGGTATTTCAGCTTGAAAAGTTGAAACCAAGGAAAACAAATGAAAATGAAAACTGACTTCCTCTAAGAATCTGGCTTATGCTCAGCCGGATGTTGTTATAATCTTGTATAAAAATGTAAATATGACAGTATGTTTTCAGTCGGTAAGTCTTGATAAAAGTTTTGAAATGAGATCAACCAAAAGCAGCTTTACATTTTAAGCAAGGGTCAACAAATGTGTTCTACAAAGAGCCAGTTAGTAAATAACTTTGTGGGTCACATATAGTCTTTGCTGCATATTCTTCGTTGTTTTCATCTTTAACAACTTCTTTTAAAATGTAAAAAAAAACAAAAACCCCACTTGGCCCATGGGATACACTGCATTAACTGACTCAAAGGCAAAAGAACCCAAGACAAGAATATAATGTTATAGAATACAATGCTTAAAAATGTTCTCCTGGCATTTAGCATCGTCAATTACCAGTGTGAGGCTAGAAAAATGATTTCATGAATTATTTCACACATGGAAGGAATGTTAATGGCAGGTGCACTATGATCTCTTGACCTGAAACTCCAGGCCTGGAAGAAAGGGCAAAAGCTGTGTGCCAAGTTATCCCTGTATAGAGTCTCTCTCAGGACTATTTCCCTTAACAGAATGCTAATCAAAGTGGAAACACCTTACCTTCCCACAGACACAAAATCTAATTACTGTCTGGAAAATGTGGCTTTACAGAGCGGATCACACTCATCTACAGTGATGAGAAGGATAAAGACTTGATTTGGAGCTCCACCAGCAGTTCTGCTGAAGGTGAGGGTTTGCATTTGTAAAGCTGGGACAGGGCATAAAGAAGATAATTTCTACAACTTTCTCTGATGTCAAACAATGACTATACTAAATAATAAAACCACTCAGGAAATACCTAACAGGAAGAAGGGGGCAGGGAGGAGAGACAGCCAGGGGATCGGTTTAGAAGGCCCCATTAAGGGCAGAGAGTCGGGTTCTCTCTCTGTTCTACCAGCACCTTGTTCAACATAAGACCATTTCAAGATGTCAGGGTGCCTTCATATCAATATTAAAATCACCCACATAGCCCACAGGAAACATAATATATAGTAGAGAGTATCACCATTTCTGTCTTAATATATTTAAAAGTATTTTACCTAAATATTAATTATGATTATGTAAGGAATGGGGGTTGGGGCAAATCACTTTTTTTTCAATTTTCCAACGTATAAACTAAAAAGCTAGTTAGTTGATCTGAGGCATTACACCTGTAATTTCAAGTGACTAACGCATCCTTACTCGTGGTTAGCAGGTATTATCTGACTGACAGACTAGAAGATTCCCAGTAAGTCACGTGAAAGAAAATTACTCAAAGTAGGACTCAAAGTGCCAAATCTTAGAGAAATGAAAAGAAAGTATAAGGGACAGTTGTACCTAGAATCAAAATGATTGTCTCCTCTTTCATGATGACACCTTTCTGTTCAAGCATAATTGTGAAGCATTTTAGTTCCAGGTATATAAGTTCTCTGGCTGTCTACTACCATTTCCTGTTGGAGCTCTGGGGCTAAGTAAGAGGCATGAGACTTTCCTCTCCTCCATATCAACTGAAGAACAGCTTGAAGCTTCTTTTTCAGCATATTCACCACACAGAAAGTACAAAGACCAAGAGTTCCCATGAGATTCACCATGCAATATCCATCTCCTAATCTAAGCCATCAAAGGACACTGGCTTTAATGTTTTAATAACTGCAACCCTCCAAATATGCTCATTTCAATCATTAAAAATAATCCACTCAAAAAAGATTCTAATCCTTCACTGTGAAATGTAATACACTTCTCTCTCGGTCTCTCCTCTCTGTTCATCTTTCTCTCTCTCTCTCTCTCTCTCTCTCTCTCTCTCTCACACACACACACACACACACACACACACACACACACATATGGGGGAAGGCTAGGGATTAAGTCCTGGGCCTCATTCATATTAGGCATATACTATATCATTAAGTTAAACCCCTAGGCCAGAAAAGTGATTTAAAAAAAAAAATACTATGTTAGAAGGTACTAAATATCCTTATGGGAAATGTTGAACAAAGTGCCTGTGTGTGTGTATAGGGGGATGTGGACTGACTAGTAAATCTATTTCAGGGAGAATCCAAGGAATTTAACAAACTGTATCAGTAAGATTTATTCACTTTTTTTATTTTTTTCTTTAAAAATGTTTACATACATATGTGAACACCTGTGTTTGAGATTTATACATCTGAGTGCAGAAGTCCAGGGAGGCCAGACGACAGTTGCCCTGTAGTCGGAGTTACAGGCCTACAGATATTTGTAAACCATCTAATGTGGATGCTGGGAACTGAACTTGGGTCCTCTAGAAGAGAAGCAAGCACTCACTGCTGATCCACCTCTCTTGCCCTGGGTTTACTCATTCTGTATGCAGGAGGAAAGTTCTGAGAGTCACACATAGAACATACAAAGGCCTCCTCACTCGACTTAACTAGAAATTGTCCTTTATCATCTGTACTGCAGTATGCATTCAGCACTGACCAAGAGTTATTTGGGGTTTTGAAACTGATACCAAAAACAAATGTCCTTTAGAAGCTGTACCAGCTCCCACCAAGCCTCTTACAAATATACTTTCGAGATGCAAGATGACATTTAAAATCTGCTTCCTCAGAAAAGTCCCACTCAAGACTAACTGCCAAGAACTTGCAACGCAAACTTCCTTAAGCCCAGACATCACAACACCCAGATTTCCATTCAGTCTGTGCGAGAGAAATCAGAAGAAACCAAGAATCTACCTACTTAAAAGAACAAACAAATATATAAACATAGATTGTTTTGTTTTTTTAATTCACTTATATGAGTGTTTTTCCTGCACAAATGTATGTGCACCATGTAAGTGTCTGGTCCCCACAGAGGCCAGAAGAAGTGTTGGATCCCATGGAACTGGAGTTACAGGCAGTTGTGGGGTGCCAGGTGGGTGCTGTGAACAAAACCTGGGTCCTCAATAAGAGCAGCAAATAAGAGACAACTTTCCAGACACTTAAACACACTTATTACCAACACACCAGCTTCCCACCCTGAAAACCATTTGAAAAATGCCTAAATAAGTTAGTATTAGAGGCTGGAAAGATCACCCAGACAATCAAAATGCTGATTGTCAGGGTATTTAATTGACCAGCTATTTAACAAGGGAAATGATGTTAAGGTTATTCTACTGAAAGTTTAAGACCAGTTTTGATTTGCTCTTAAGTTTATGAGTTAAAGATCCTGTTACCTGCACACAATGTCTTTTACTACAAATGTAAGAAGGGCAGCTCCCAGGAGAGAGGGGAATTTTTTTTCTTAAATCAATTAGAAGTAATTGGTAGATATGTAGTATGTTGTGATTCATCTAAGAAGTAATTAGAATCAAAGGAAACGATACAGGAGGCAGGTGGAATTTGTGCTCAATCACGTCTTAGACATTACTAAATCCTCAAGCTCAAGAATTTAAAAAGTTGAAACACACTGCTTTGCAAGACACGGAGTAAAAGGGTGAACAGTCTATTTCTGACCACATCATTCCCCAAAAGTCGCCAGCCTCCCTTAATATATTTTAACACACAGAAAATGTGAACACTCCACAGACATTACTCCATTATTAGTCACTTTTTAAATCTTAATTCAAAGAAGTCAAGAGAAAATGAAAACCAGCGTTCCCAGTTCCTGGGGAAAGTCCTGCACCCCACGTTTTCCATTTCCTCTCTTTTCTCTGCTCAACGCCTGCACTACATCCGCTGCTTCCCCTTCTCCTTTCTAGCTGACACCCAGCTCTCCTTTACTTTTTCCACCAAGTAGCCTCATGTTGCCCTCTGGTCCCCCTGAGCCCTTCTCCCATCTACAGTTTTCTTCTGCATTTTCTCTTGACATCTCTGTGCACGCCTTTATAGCCAATGTCGCTTCATCCCTCTCCTCATTCATTCCCCTCAATTTCCTTCCGACCACCTAGTCTCACTTCTCTTGTCTCTGGTGTCCTCTGTCCCTTTACTTCATTTGAAGCCCCTCTTAAGTCCTCAACCCTTCATGCCCCCCTTCACATTTCCTTCCTCTTTCCTGTCTTTCTAATCCATGTTCGTATCCACTCTCCCCTCCTTTTCTCTTTCCGTACAATTTCCTGTGTTCCCCCTCGACTCTGTCCCTCTGGGACCCCCGCCGCCGCCGCCCGGGAGTCCTCTCCTGTCTCCAACACCTCGGGTTCCCGATTGCTCCGGTTCCCTTTCCTCCGTCCGCAGCCCCGCGTCCCCGTCAGCCCCTCTCGCCCTATCCCTGCCAGCTCGCACTGATCTCTCCGCGGCCCCCAGGGTCTCCCTCCCGGGGCGCCAAGCCCTCGCGTGCCCTCTCCCAGGCCCCTGGGCATCCGCCCCCCGCGTCTCAGCTCCCGTCCCGGGCCGTGGCTGCTCCCTCACCGATGGTGGAGATGAAGGTGGTGTTGAAGGCGTCCTCTGAGAAACGGAACAGGAGGCAGGTCTTGCCGACGCCGGAGTCGCCGATGAGCAGCAGCTTGAACAGATAATCGTACGTCTTCGCCATCTTCTCGCTCCGGCCCTCTCTGACCGCGGAGAGCAAGAAGGCGGTGGAAAGAGGCGCGGAGGGGGCCTCGGGCGAGGGGGCGTGGC